CAAATCCCCTGAAATCCTCCCAGGATCCCCCCAACACCCCCCAGACCCCTCCAAATCCCCCAAAATCCCCTCAAATCTCCCCCAAAATCCCCCCAAAATCCCCCAAATTCCCACCAGAACGTCCAAATCCTCCCCAATCCCCTCCCCCCCCCCCACCCCAAATTCCCCAAATCCCCCGGAACCCCCACAAATCTCCCCCAGGACCCCCAAATCCCCCCCTAATCCCCCAAATCCCCCCCAGTCCCCCCCCCAAAACCCCCAGACCCCTCTATGACCCCCCAAATCCCCCCCAAATTCCCCCTAAATCCCCCAGGACCCCCCCAAATCTTCCCCCAATCCCCCCCCCCAACCCCCCCAGACCCCAAATTCCCCCCAGGACCCCCCAAATCCCCCCCCAAATCCCCCCATCCCCCCCCCCCCGTACCGGCTCCCGTCGCTCTCTCGGCCCCGCCCCCCCCGCGCGCCGGGACCCCCGAACCTGGGGGGGGGAAAATGGGGGGGGGGGGGGGAATCAGGGGGGGCCGAACCCACAGAGGAGACCCCCCCCCCCAAATACATGGGGACCCTCACCCCAACCCACGGGGGACCCCCAACTCATGACACCCCCCAGCCCCATAGAGACCCCCCCCAATCCATGGGGACCACCCCCAGACCCACAGCCCCCCCCCCCCCCGACTCCCGGGACCCCCCAACCACCCTGAGCACCCTCAATCCAGGACGCCCCCAAATCCCCCAGGACCCCCTCCCCAATCTAGACCACCCCCCCCCCAGGATTCCCAGCCCCACATATCCCCCCCAGAGCCCCCCCAAATCCAGGACCCCCCCAGAGCAGCCCCGCCCCCCACCCAGCCCCGCCCCCCGTCCCTCCATGGCCCCGCCCCCGGTACCTGCGTGGCCCCGCCCCTCATCGGGCCCCGCCCCCCGCGGCTCCGCAGCCCCCGCAGCCTCCCGCGCATGCGCAGCAGCTCGGCCTCCGCCCCGCCCAGCAGGGCCCGGCACAGCCCCGCCTCCACCTGAGGGGAGGGACCGGGACAGGTGAGAGACAGGTGTGTAATTACCTGTCCAGGTGTGTCCCTACATCCCCCCAGGTGTGACCCAACCCCCCCAGGTGTGCCCCGACCCAGCAGGGCCCGGGACAGCCCCGCCTCCACCTGAGGGGAGGGACAGGTGAGGGACAGGGACAGGCGAGGGACAGGGGAGGGACAGAGACAGGTGAGAGACAGGGGAGGGACAGGGACAGGTGAGAGACAGGTAAGGGGACAGGTGAGACAGGTGAGGGGACATGGGAGAGACAGGTGAGATACAGAGACAGGTGAGGGACAGGGGAGGGACAGGGGAGGGACAGTGGAGGGACAGGGACAGGTGAGACAGGTAAGGGACAGGTGAGACCAGACAGGTGAGGGACAGGGACAGGTGAGGGACAGGTGAGGGACAGGTGTGCTCAGGAATATCCCAGGTGTCTCTCACCTGTCCCAGGTGTACCCAGCTGTGTGTTACCTGCCCCACGTGTATCTCAGGTGTGTGTTCTCTATCCCAGGTGCATCTCAGGTGTGTGTTATCTATCCCAGGTGTGTGTGACCTGTCCCAGGTGTATCTCAGGTGTGTGTTACCTGTCTCAGGTGTACCCAGGTGTATCCCAGGTGTATCCCAGGTGTATCCCAGGTGTGTGTTATCTATCCCAGGTGTACCCAGGTGTACCCAGGTGTATCCCAGGTGTATCCCAGGTGTATCCCAGGTGTGTGTTATCTATCCCAGGTGTACCCAGGTGTATCCCAGGTGTATCTCAGGTGTATCCCAGGTGTGTCTCACCTGCAGGCTGTCCCTCACCCCCAGGTACACTCTCTGCACTCTCTGCGCCTCCTCCCCAGGTGTGTGTTATCTATCCCAGGTGTACCCAGGTGTATCTCAGGTGTGTGTTATCTATCCCAGGTGTGTGTTATCAATCCCAGGTGTACCCAGGTGTACCCAGGTGTATCTCAGGTGTACCCAGGTGTGTCATTACCTGTCCCAGGTGTGTCTCACCTGCAGGCTGTCCCTCACCCCCAGGTACACCCTCTGCACTCTCTGCGCCTCCTCCCCAGGTGTGTGTTATCTATCCCAGGTGTACCCAGGTGTATCTCAGGTGTGTGTTATCTATCCCAGGTGTACCCAGGTGTGTCATTACCTGTCCCAGGTGTGTCTCACCTGCAGGCTGTCCCTCACCCCCAGGTACACCCTCTGCACTCTCTGCGCCTCCTCCCCAGGTGTGTGTTATCTATCCCAGGTGTGTGTTATCTATCCCAGGTGTACCCAGGTGTACCCAGGTGTATCTCAGGTGTATCCCAGGTGTGTCTCACCTGCAGGCTGTCCCTCACCCCCAGGTACACTCTCTGCACTCTCTGCGCCTCCTCCCCAGGTGTGTGTTATCTATCCCAGGTGTGTGTTATCTATCCCAGGTGTGTGTTATCTATCCCAGGTGTACCCAGGTGTATCTCAGGTGTATCCCAGGTGTGTCTCACCTGCAGGCTGTCCCTCACCCCCAGGTACACTCTCTGCACTCTCTGCGCCTCCTCCCCAGGTGTGTGTTATCTATCCCAGGTGTGTGTTATCTATCCCAGGTGTACCCAGGTGTATCCCAGGTGTATCTCAGGTGTATCCCAGGTGTGTCTCACCTGCAGGCTGTCCCTCACCCCCAGGTACACTCTCTGCACTCTCTGCGCCTCCTCCCCGCGCAGCCGCAGCCGCCCCAGCGACCCCCGGAGCCCCCACACCTGGGGGAGGTCAGGGGTCACCGCGGGGTCACCGCGGGGTCACCGCGGGGTCATGGGGGGTCAGGGGTCACAGGGGTCTCGGCCCCACCTGGTCCTGCCGGGGGTCCCGGGGGGTCCCGGGGCTGCTCTGGGGCTGGGCCCGGCCTGGGGGGGGGGGAACAGGGTCAGAGACCCCCAAAATAACCCAAAATGACCCAAAATAGCCCAAAATAGCCCAAAATAGCCCAAAATAGCCCAAAATAAACCCAAAATAGCAAAAAACCCCCACAAAATAGCCCAAAATAACCCAAAATGACCCAAAATAGCAAAAAAACCCCACAAAATAGCCCAAAATAACCCAAAATGACCCAAAATGACCCAAAACCCCCCCACAAAATAGCCCAAAATTACCCAAAATAACCCCAAAGAACCCCAATTAACCCCAAATAGCCCCAAAATGACCCCAAATAACCACAAAATAACCCCAAATAACCCAAAATAGCCCAAAATAGACCCAAAATAACCAAAAATAGCCCAAAATAGCCCCAAAGAACCCAAAAGAACCCAAAATAGCCCAAAATAGCATGAAAACCCACAAAATAGCCCAAAATAACCCAAAATAACCCCAAAGAACCCAAATTAACCCCAAATAGCCCCAAATAGCCCCAAATAGCCCCAAAATAACCCAAAATAGCAAAAAATAACCCAAAATAGCCCAAAATAGCCCCAAAATAACCCCAAATAAACCCAAAATAGCCCAAAATAGACCCAAAATAACCCAAAATAGCCAAAAATAACCCTAAATAGCCCTAAATAGCCCCAAAATAACCAAAAAACCCCCACAAAATAACCCAAAATATCCCCAAGGAACCCAAATTAACCCCAAATAGCCCCAAATTAACCCCAAAATAACCCAAAATAACCCAAAATAACCCCAAATAAACCCAAAATATCCCAAATCCCCCCAAAATAACCCCAAATAACTGCAGGGGACCCAAAATAAATCCAAATTAACCCCAAAATAACCACAGAGACCCCCCCAAAATAACCCCAAAATAACCCAAAATAATCCCAAAATAACCCCAAAATTACCCCCGAGATCCCCAAAATAACCCCAGGGGACCCCAAATAACCCAAAATAATCCCAAAGAACCCCAAAATAACCCAAAATAACCCCAGGGACCCCATTAAAAACCGAAAAACCCAAAATAACCTCAAATAACTGCAGGGAACCCCAAAACAAACCCAAAATAAACTTAAAATAACCCAAAATAAACCCAAAATAAACTTAAAATAACCCAAAATAACCCCAAAAAAACCCAAATTAACCCAATATAACCCCAAAATAACCCAAAATAAACCCCAAAAAAACCCCAAGCAAGCGCAGAGAACCCAAAATAAATCCAAATTAACCCCAAAATAACCCCAGGGACCCCAAAATAACCACAAGGAAATTAAAATAACCCCAAAATAACCCAAAAATAAACCAAAATATCCCCAAAATCCCCCCAAAATCCCCTCCCCCCCCCCGTACCGGGGTCTCCGGTCGCCATTTGGGGGTCCCGGAGCTGGGGGGGGCACAGAGGGGTCAGGGGGACCCTCGGATTGACCCAAAATCCCCAAATTTCACCCCAAAATTTTACCCCCGGAAACCCCAAAATCCCCTCAGGATCCCCCAAATCCCCCAAACTTTGCCCCAGATCCCAAAAATTTCAACCCAAATTCCCCCCAGAACTCCCAAATCCCCCCAAATTTTACCTCAAATCCCCTCAGAACCCCCCAAATTTCACCCGAAATCCTCTCAGGACTCCCAAATCCCCCAAATTTCACCCCAAATCCCCTGGGAACCCACAAATCTCCCAAATTTCACCCCAAATCCCCTCAGCACCCCAAAATCCCCCAAAATTTTACCCCAAATTCCCCCCCAGGAACCCCCAAATTTCACCCCAAATCCTTCCAGGACCCCCGAAATTTCACCCCAAATTTCCCAAATTTCACCCCAAACCCCTTCGGGACCCTCAAATCTCCTCAGGACCCCCAAATCCCCCAATTTTCACCCCAAATTTCCCCCCAGGACCCCCCAAATTCGCGCACGTGCCCCCGGCAGCTGCCGCCCCTCGGCCCCGCCCCCCGTCGCTATGGCAACGGGACGCTCAGGCGCTGATTGGCTGAGCCGCCGCACTCAACATGGCGGCGCCCACAAGACAGGAAACGCCGCGCTCAAAATGGCGGCGGCCATGAGACAGACCGGAAGTTCCGCGCGGTTCCACTTCCGGTTCCGGCCTGTGGAGGCTGAGGCGCGCGAGTGAGGCCGGAGCGGTACGGGGGAGGGATGGGGGAGATTTTGGGGAATTTTTGCGATTTTTTGGCATTTTTGAGGGGATTTGGGGGTTTTTTGAGGGGTCTGGGAGGGGACCGGAGGGGTTTTGGGGGGTTTAAAGTGGTTTTGGGAGGTTTAAAGGAGAAGTTGAGGGGGTTTAAAGGGGATTTGGGGGGGGTTAAAGGAGATTTTTGAGGGGATTTGGGGATTTTTGAGGGGTCTGGGAGGGGATCCGAGAGGTTTTGGGGGGTTTAAAGGGGATTTTTGAGGGAATTTGGGATGGATTTGGGAGGATTTGTGGAGTTTGGGGTGAATTTAAGGGAATTTAAGGTGGATTTGAGAGATCTTGAGGTAGATTTGGGGGGGTTTGGGGTGAATTTAAGGGAAATTGGGACGGATTTGAGGGAATTTGGGGTGAATTTAAGGGGATTTGGGATGGATTTGAGGGAATTTGGGGTGAATTTAAGGGAATTTGGGGTGGATTTAAGGGAATTTGGGATGGATTTGAGGGAATTTGGGGCTGTTTTGAGGGGATTTGAGAGGATTTGGGGGTGAATTTAAGGGAATTTGGGGCTGATTTGGGGTGGATTTGGGGGATTTGAGGGATTTTTTTGTGAATTTAAGGTGAATTTGAGGGATTTTGGGATGGATTTGGGAGATTTTGGGGTGGATTTAAGGGGATTTGGGGTGAATTTAAGGGGATTTGGGGCTGATTCGGGGTGAATTTAAGGGGATTTGGGGTGGATTTCAGGGAATTTGGGGCTGATTTTGGGGAGTTTTGGGGGTTTGGGGTGAATTTAAGGGGATTTGGGATGGATTTAAGGGGATTTGGGGTGAATTTAAGGGAATTTGGGGCTGATTTTGGGGGGATTTGGGAGGATTTGGGGGTTTGGGGTGAATTTAAGGGAATTTGAATGTAAGGGGATTTGGGGTGAATTTAAGGGGATTTGGGGTGAATTTAAGGGGATTTGGGGCTGATTTGGGGTGAAATTATTGGATTTTGGGGCTGATTTGGGCTCCGTGCCTCAGTTTCCCCAGGCCGGCCATGCTGCCCCTGGTGCTGCTGCTGCCCCTGGCCCTGGGCGGGACCCCCGAGGTGACGGTGCCGCGACCCCGGGGGGTGGCCCTGAGCCGTGAGTGACCCCAAAATCCCCAAAATTCACCCCAAAATAACCCTCAACCCAAAAAACCCCAAAATTCCCTGAAATTCCCCCCAAAAAATCCTCAAAAATGCCCCAAAATCACCCAAAATCCACCCTGGGATCCCCGAGGTGACGGTGCCGCGACCCCGGGGGTGGCTCTGAGCCGTGAGTGACCCCAAAATCCCCAAAATTCACCCCAAAATAACCCTCAACCCAAAAAACCCCAAAATTCCCTGAAATTCCCCCAAAAAAATCCTCAAAAATGCCCCAAAATCACCCAAAATCCACCCTGGGATCCCCGAGGTGACGGTGCCGCGACCCCGGGGGTGGCTCTGAGCCGTGAGTGACCCCAAAATCCCCAAAATTCACCCCAAAATCATCCCTAAATCATCCTGAACCAAAACCCCCCAAAAATCCCCCCAAAAACCTCAAAATTCACCCAAAAAACCCCAAAATCCACCCTGGGAGCCCCGAGGTGACGGTGCCGCGACCCCGGGGGGTGGCCCTGAGCCGTGAGTGACCCCAAAATCCCCAAAATTCACCCCAAAATCATCCTGAACCCAAAAAACCCCAAAATTCCCTGAAATTCCCCCCAAAAAAACCTCAAAAATCCCCAAATCGCCCTAAAATCACCCAAAATTCACCCAAAAAACACCAAATCCCACCCTGGGACCCCCGAGGTGACGGTGCCCCAACCCCTGAGCCGTGAGTGACCCCAAAAACCCCAAAATTCACCCCAAAATAACCCTCAACCCAAAAAAACCCCAAAATTCCCTGAAATTCCCCCAAAAATCCCCCCCAAGTTCCCCCAAATCCCCAAATTTCCCCCCAAATCCCCCTCAAAGAGCCCCCAATCCCCCAAATCCCCAAATTTCCCCAAATATCCCTCTCAAATCCCACCAAAATCCCTCTCAGACCCTTCAAATTTCCCAAAATATTCCCAAATTTCCTCTCAAATCCCCCCCAAATCTCTCTAATCCCCCCAAATTTCCCCAACCCCCCCTAAAATCCCCCTCAAACTCTCCACAAATCCCCCCCAAAATCCCAAAATTTCCCTCAAATTCCCCCAAAATCCCCAAATTCCCCCTCGAACCGCCTGATTTCCCGTCAAACTCCCCCAAATTTCCCCCAAATCTCCTCAAAGTCTCCAAATTCCCCCCAAATCTCCCTCAAAATGCCCCCAAGACCCCCCAAAACCTCACCAAGTTCCCCCAAAATCCCCTCAATTCTCCCCTCAAAATCCCCAAATCCTCCCAAAATCCCCCAATTCTCCCCAATTTTCTCCACATTTCCCCCTAAAATCCCCCTCAAAATCCCCAAATTTCCCCCCAAACCCCTCCAATCTCCCCAGATTTCCCCAAACCCCCTCAAACCCTCCCAAAATCCCCCCCAAATCTCCCCAAAACCCCTAAAATCCCCCTCAGACTCCCCACAAATCCCCCCCCAAAATCCCCAAATTTCCTCCCCCCAAAAAGACCCCAAAATCTCCCTCAACCCGCCCAAAAATCTGACCAAATTTCCCTCAAATTGCCCCAAAAATCCTCAAATTTCCCCCCAAATTTCCCCAAATGCCCTCAAACCCCCCCCAAAAAACCCCCAAATCCCCCTCAACTCCCCCAAATCTGCCCTAATTTTCCCCAAAACCCCCAAATTTCCCCCCAAAATCTCAATTTTCCCCCGCAAATGCCCCCAAATCCCCTCCAGATCTCCCTCAAATCCCCCTCAACCCCCAAATTCCCCCAAATTCCCCCCAAATCCCCCTCAAACCCCCCCAAAATCTCCCCACAATTCCCCAAATTTCCCCAAATCCTCTCAACCCCCCCCAAATCCCCCAAATCCCCTCTGATTTTCCCCAAAATCCCCAAAATTCCCCCTAAATCTCCCTCAAAATGCCCCCAAGACCCCTCGAAATCCCCAAATTTCCCCCTAAAATCTCCCCAAATCCCCCCTAATTTTTTCCAATTTCTCCCTAAATCCCCCTAAAATCCCCCCAAATCCCCCCAAATTTCCCCAAGTGCGCCCCTAATTTACCCCCAGATCCACCCAAATTTCCCCCAAAACCTTCTCAAATCCGCCCTGATTTTCCCAATGTTTCCCCCCCAAAATCTCCCCAAATCCCCCCAATTTTTTTCCAATTTCCCCCCAAAGTCCCCAAATTTTCCCCCAAACCCCTCAGTTTTCCCCCGAAATCCCCAAATTTGCCCAAATTTCCCCGTTTTCCCCCCAGAGCTGCCGTTCTACGACCCCTCGGGGCCGTTCCGCTGCCTGGACGGCTCCGGCTCCATCGCCTTCAGCTGGGTCAACGACGACTACTGCGACTGCAGGGACGGCTCTGACGAGCCTGGTGGGTCCCCAAAACCCCCAAAATCACCCCAGAAATGGACTCGGCACCCCAAAAAACCCCCCGGGGTGCTGGGAGCCCCAAAAACCCCAAAACTGCCCCAAAAGTGCCCCAAAAACCCCAAAATTGCCCTGAAGCGAATCCCAAAACTGCCCAGAACTGTGATTGCAGGGATGGGTCTGAGGGGCCTGGTGGGACCCCAAAACCCCCCAAAATCACCCCAAAAATGGACTCGGCACCCCCAAAAACCCCCCGGGGCAATGGGAACCCCAAAAACCCCAAAAGTGCCCCAAAAACCCCAAAATTGCCCCGAAGCGAATCCCAAAACTGCCCCAGAACTGCGACTGCCAGGATGGGTCTGAGGGGCCTGGTGGGACCCCAAAACCCCCAAAATCACCCCAGAAATGGACTCGGCACCCCCAAAAACCCCTCGGGCCAATGGGAGCCCCAAAAACCCCAAAAGTGCCTCAAAAATCCACCCCAAAACTGCCCCAGAACTGCCCCAAAAACCCCAAAATCCCAGAACTGTGACTGCCAGGATGGGTCTGAGGGGCCTGGTGGGTCCCCAAAACCCCCAAAATCACCCCAGAAATGGACTCGGCACCCCCAAAAACCCCCCGGGGCAATGGGAGCCCCAAAAACCCCAAAACTGCCCCAAAAGTGCCCAAAAACCCCAAAATTGCCCCGAAGCGAATCCCAAAACTGCCCCAGAACTGCGACTGCAGGGATGGGTCTGAGGAGCCTGGTGGGACCCCAAAACCCCCAAAAATCACCCCAGAAATGGACTCGGCACCCCCAAAAACCCCCCAGGGCAGTGGGGACCCCAAAAAACCCCAAAAGTGCCCCAAAAATCCACCCCAAAACTGCCCCAAAACTGCCCCAAAACTGCCCCAAAACTGCGACTGCCAGGATGGGTCTGAGGGGCCTGGTGGGACCCCAAAACCCCCAAAAATCACCCCAAAAATGGACTCAGCACCCCCAAAAACCCCCCGGGGCAATGGGAACCCCAAAAACCCCAAAAGTGCCCCAAAAATCCACCCCAAAACTGCCCCAAAATGGCACCAAAAACCCCAAAACTGCCCCAGAACTGTGACTGCAAGGATGGGTCTGAGGGACCTGGTGGGACCCCAAAACCCCCAAAAATCACCCCAAAAATGGACTCAGCACCCCCAAAAACCCCCCGGGGCAGTGGGAGCCCCAAAAACCCCAAAAGTGCCCCAAAAATCCACCCCAAAACTGCCCCAAAATGGCACCAAAAACCCCAAAACTGCCCCAGAACTGTGACTGCAAGGATGGGTCTGAGGGACCTGGTGGGACCCCAAAACCCCCAAAAATCACCCCAAAAATGGACTCAGCACCCCCAAAAACCCCCCGGGGCAGTGGGAGCCCCAAAAACCCAAAAGTGCCCCAAAAACCCCAAAATTGCCCCGAAGCGAATCCCAAAACTGCCCCAGAACTGTGATTGCAGGGATGGGTCTGAGGGGCCTGGTGGGACCCCAAAACCCCCAAAATCACCCCAAAAATGGACTCGGCACCCCCAAAACCCCCCAGGCCAATGGGGACCCCAAAAACCCCAAAAGTGCCCCAAAAATCCACCCCAAAACTGCCCCAAAATGGCACCAAAAACCCCAAAACTGCCCCAGAACTGTTACTGCAAGGACGGGTCTGAGGAGCCTGGTGGGACCCCAAAACCCCAAAAATCACCCCAAAAATGGACTCAGCACCCCCAAAAACCCCCCGGGGCAATGGGAACCCCAAAAACCCCAAAAGTGCCCCAAAAATCCACCCCAAAACTGCCCCAGAACTGCCCCAAAAACCCCAAAATCCCCAGAACTGTTACTGCAGGGACGGGTCTGAGGGGCCTGGTGGGACCCCAAACCCCCAAAAATCACCCCAAAAATGGACTTGGCACCCCCAAAAACCCCCCGGGGCAATGGGAGCCACAAAACCCCCAAACCTGCCCCAAAAATCCACCCCAAAACTGCCCCAGAACTGCCCCAAAAACCCCAAAACTGCCCCAGAACTGTGATTGCAGGGATGGGTCTGAGGAGCCTGGTGGGTCCCCAAAACCCCAAAAATCACCCCAAAAATGGACTCAGCACCCCCAAAAACCCCCCGGGGCAATGGGAACCCCAAAAACCCCAAAAGTGCCCCAAAAATCCACCCCAAAACTGCCCCAGAACTGCCCCAAAAACCCCAAAATCCCCAGAACTGTTACTGCAAGGATGGGTCTGAGGGGCCTGGTGGGTCCCCAAAACCCCCAAAATGACCCCAGAAATGGACTCGGCACCCCCAAAAACCCCCCGGGGCAATGGGAACCCCAAAAACCCCAAAACTGAACCAAAATCCACCCCAAAAACCCCAAACCTGCCCCAAAAATCCACCCCAAAACTGCCCCAGAACTGCCCCAAAAACCCCAAAATCCCCAGAACTGTTACTGCAGGGATGGGTCTGAGGGGCCTGGTGGGTCCCCAAAACCCCCAAAATCACCCCAAAATGGACTCGGCACCCCCAAAAACCCCCGGGGCAATGGGAACCCCAAAAACCCCAAAAGTGCCCCAAAAATCCACCCCAAAACTGCCCCAGAACTGTGACTGCAAGGACGGGTCTGAGGAGCCTGGTGGGTCCCCAAAACCCCAAAAATCACCCCAAAAATGGACTCGGCATCCCCAAAAACCCCCCGGGGCAATGGGAACCCCAAAAACCCCAAAAGTGCCCCAAAAATCCACCCCAAAAACCCCAAACCTGCCCAAAAATCCACCCCAAAACTGCCCCAGAACTGCCCCAAAAACCCCAAAATCCCCAGAACTGTGACTGCAAGGATGGGTCTGAGGGGCCTGGTGGGTCCCCAAAACCCCCAAAATCACCCCAAAAATGGACTCGGCATCCCCAAAAACCCCCCGGGGCAATGGAGCCCCAAAAACCCAAAACTGCCCAAAAATCCACCCCAAAACTGCCCCAAAACTGCCCCAAAAACCCCAAAAGTGCCCCAAAAATCCACCCCAAAACTGCCCCAAAATGGCACCAAAAACCCCAAAACTGCCCCAAAAACCCCACAGGGAACCCCAAAACCACCTTGGGAACCCCCCAAAAAAACCCCTGAGACCCCAAAAATGAACGTGGGACCCCCAAAAAACCACCCTGGGACCCCCAAAATTCCTTCAAGACCCCCCCAAAATCCCCTCAGGACACCCCAAATTCCCCTCCAGGGACCCCCAAATCTCCAGAATCCCCCCCAGAGCCCCCTCCTCACTTTTAGGGACCCCAATTTCACCTGGGACCCCCAAAATCCCCTCAGGACCCCCCAAAATCCCTCTGGGACCCCCAAAATCCCCTCAGGACCCCCCAAAATCCCCTCAGGACCCCCCAAAACCCCCCAGAATTCCCCCCATATCCCTTTCAGAACCCCCCAAAATCCACCCGGGACCTTCACAACCCCCCAAATTTTGGGGAGGGGTCCCCGAATCCCCTCTGGGAGCCCCCCCAGACTGAAGGGACCCCCCTAAAAGCCCCCAAAATCCCCCCAGGGACCCCCAAACTTCCAAAATCTCCCCCCTTAGAGCCCCCTCCTCACTTTTAGGGATCCCAATGTTCCCCAGGACCCCCCAAAATCCCCCCAAAATCCCCTCAGGACACCCCAAATTCCCCTCCAGGGACCCCCAAAATCCCCTCAGGACCCCCCAAAATCCCTCTGGGACCCCCAAAATCCCTCAGGACCCCCAAAAATCCCCTCAGGACCCCCCCAAAACCCCCCAGAATTCCCCACATATCCCTTTCAGAACCCCCAAAATCCACCCGGGACCTTCACAACCCCCCAAATTTTGGGGAGGGGTCCCCGAATCCCCTCTGGGAGCCCCCCCAGACCGAAGGGACCCCCCTAAGACCCCCCAAAATGCCCCCAGGGACCCCCAGAATCCCTCCCTTCAGAGCCCCCTCCTCACTTTTAGGGGCCCCAATATCACCTGGGAACCCCCAAAATTGCCCCAAAATCCCCCCAGGACCCCTCAAAATCCATCTGGGACCCTCTGGGACCCCCCCAAAATCCCTCAGGACCCCCCCAAGAACCCTCTGGGACCCCCCCAAAATCCCCTCAGGACCCCCCAAAATCTCTCCAGGACCCCCCAAACTTCCAAAATCTCCTCTCATTGTTCAACATTTGGGTCTGCAGGGCCCTTCTGGGGCCTTCCCACCCCCCAAATTTTGGGGAGGGGGTCCCCGAATCCCCTCTGGGAGCCCCCCCAGACCGAGGGGACCCCCCTAAGACCCCCCAAAATGCCCGCAGGGACCCCGGCGTGCCCCAACGGGCGCTTCCACTGCGCCAACGCCGGGCACCGGCCCCGCGGCATCCCCGCGGCACACGTCAATGACGGCGTCTGCGGTGGGTCTGGGGGCATTTCGGGGGGTCCTGGGGGGGATTTGGGGGGTCTTGGAGGGGATTTGGGGCATTTTGGGGGGTCTTGGAGGGGATTTGGGGGGGCTTGAGGGGTCCTGGTGGGGATTTGGGGGAGATTTTGGGGGGTCCCGGAGGATATTTGGGGATGTTTTGGGGTGGATTTGAGGGATCCTGTGAGGGATTTGAGGGGATTTTGGGGGGTCCTGAAGGGATTTCAGGGGGTCCTGGGGGGATTTGGGGGATTTTGGGGAAGATTTGGGGCATTTTGGGGGGTCCTGGGGGGCATTTGGGGGGAGTTTTGAGGGGATTTTTGGGGGTTCTGGGGGGATTTAGGGGAGCCTGGGGGGGATTTTAGAGGGGATTTGGAGGGGTCTGGGGCGGTTTTGGGGAGGATTTGGGGGGTCCTGGAGGGGTTTTGGGGGGGTCCTGGGTGGGTTTGGGGGGTCCTGGAGGGGATTTGGGGGGGTTTGGGGGGTCCTGGGTGGGGATTTGGGGGGATTTTGGGGGAGATTTTGGGGGATCCTGGGAGGATTTTGAGGGGTCCTGGAGGAGATTTGGGGATGTTTTAGGGGAGGGTTTGAGGGATCCCGGCGGGGATTTTGGGGGGGTCCTGATGGGGGTTTGGGGGGTCCTGAGGGGATTTGAGGGTTCCTGGGGGGTTTGGGGGGGTCTTGGGGAAGATTTGGGGCATTTTGGGGGGTCCTGGGGGGGATTTGGGGGGATTTTGGGGATGTTGGGGGGGGTCTTTATTGGGTTATTGGGATTTTGGGGGGGAATTTCGGGGGTTCTAGGCAGGTTTAGGGGGGATCTGGAGGGTCCTGAGGGGTTTTGGGGGGTCCTGAGGGGGTTTGGGTGGGTTTTGGGGGGGATTTTGGGTGAATTTGGGGGGTCGTGAGGGGGAACTGGGGGGATTTGGAGGGGATTTTGGGGGGGTCCTGGGGTGGGTTGGAGGGATTTTGGGGGGGTTTTGGGGGGTCTTTAGTGGGATTTGGGGGGAGTTTGGGGGGCCCTGAGGGGGGATTTGGGGGAAATTGAAGGGACTTTGAGGGGTCCTGAGGGGATTTAGGGGGGATCTGGGGGAAATTGGGGGGTCCTGAGGGGGTTTGGGGGGTCCTGAAGGGATTTCAGGGGGTCCTGGGGGGATTTGGGGGGATTTTAGGGGGTCCTGAAGGGATTTCAGGGGGGTCCTGGGTGGGTTTGGGGGGTTTTGGAGGGGATTTGGGGGTTTTGGGGGGTCCTGGGGGGATTTTGGGGGGTCCTGGGGGGAGATTTGGGGTGTTTGGGGGGGATTTTAGAGGGTCCTGGGGGGAATTTTTGGGGGGAGTTGAGGGGATTTTGGGGGGGTCCTGGGGGGAATTTTTGAGGGGATTTGGGGGATCCTGGGGGGATTTGGGGGGTTTTGGGGGGTCCTGAGGGGATTTGGGGGGGATTTTGGGGGGTCCTGGGGGGATTTTGGGGGGATTTTGGGGGGGTCCTGAGGGGATTTGGGGGGGATTTTGGGGGGTCCTGGGGGGATTTTGGGGGGATTTTGGGGGGGTCCTGGGGGGATTTTGGGGGTTTTGGGTGATTTTGGGGTCCCCCTGTCCCCCCAGATTGCTGCGATGGCACCGACGAGTGGGGGAGCGGGGCCGGCTGTGAGAACACCTGCAGGTACTGGGGGTACTGGGGATACTGGTTTGTATGGTTTGTACTGGTTTGTACTGGTCTGTACTGGGAATGGCTGTGAGAACACCTGCAGGTACTGGGGGTACTGGGGATACTGGTCTGTACTGGTTTGTACTGGTTTGTACTGGTTTGTACTGGTCTGTACTGGTCTGTACTGGTCTGTACTGGTTTGTACTGGTTTGTACTGGTTTGTACTGGTCTGTACTGGTCTGTACTGGTCTGTACTGGGAATGGCTGTGAGAACACCTGCAGGTACTGGGGGTACTGGGGGTACTGGGGATACTGGTTTGGACTGGTTTGTACTGGTTTGTACTGGTCTGTACTGGGAATGGCTGTGAGAACACCTGCAGGTACTGGGGATACTGGTTTGTGCTGGTTTGTGCTGGTTTGTACTGGTTTGTACTGGTCTGTACTGGTCTGTACTGGTTTGTACTGGTTTGTACTGGTTTGTACTGGTCTGTACTGGTTTGTACTGGTCTGTACTGGTCTGTACTGGTTTGTACTGGTCTGTACTGGTTTGGACTGGTTTGGACTGGTTTGTACTGGTCTGTACTGGGAATGGCTGTGAGAACACCTGCAGGTACTGGGGGTACTGGGGATACTGGTCTGTACTGGTTTGTACTGGTCTGTACTGGTTTGTACTGGTTTGTACTGGTTTGTACTGGTTTGTACTGGTCTGTACTGGTTTGTACTGGTTTGTACTGGTTTGTACTGGTCTGTACTGGTCTGTACTGGTTTGTACTGGTTTGTACTGGTTTGTACTGGTTTGTACTGGTCTGTACTGGTTTGTACTGGTTTGTACTGGTTGTGCTGGTTTGTACTGGTTTGTACTGGTCTGTACTGGTTTGTACTGGTTTGTACTGGTTTGTACTGGTCTGTACTGGTTTGTACTGGTTTGTACTGGTTTGTGCTGGTTTGTACTGGTTTGTACTGGTCTGTACTGGTCTGTACTGGTCTGTACTGTCTGTACTGGTTTGTACTGGTTTGTACTGGTTTGTGCTGGTCTGTACTGGTTTGTACTGGTCTGTACTGGTCTGTACTGGTTTGTACTGGTCTGTACTGGTTTGTACTGGTTTGTACTGGTTTGTACTGGTCTGTACTGGTCTGTACTGGTCTGTACTGGTTTGTACTGGTCTGTACTGGGAATGGCTGTGAGAACACCTGCAGGTACTGGGGGTACTGGGGAAACTGGGATACTGGTTTGGACTGGTTTGTACTGGTTTGTACTGGTTGTACTGGTCTGTACTGGTCTGTACTGGTCTGTACTGATTTGTGCTGGTTTGAACTGGTTTGTGCTGGTTTGTACTGGTCTGTACTGGTCTGTACTGGTCTGTACTGGTTTGTACTGGTTTGTACTGGTTTGTGCTGGTCTGTACTGGTCTGTACTGGTTTGTACTGGTTTGTGCTGGTTTGAACTGGTTTGTACTGGTTTGGACTGGTCTGTACTGGTCTGTACCGGTTTGTACTGGTTTGTAGTGGTCCGTACTGGTCCATACTGGTTTATACTGTATTTTTTAGGGAAAAGGGCCGTAAGGAGTGCAAGGAGCGGCTGGTTTATACTGGTTTATACTGGTTTATACTGGTTTATACTGGTCCATACTGGTTTATACTGGTCCATACTGGTTTATACTGGTCCATACTGGTTTATACTGGTTTATACTGGTCCATACTGGTCCATACTGGTTTGTACTGGTTTTCCCCAGGGAGAAGGGCCGCCGGGAGCGCGAGGCGCGGCTGGTTTATACTGGTTTATACTGGTTTATACTGGTTTATACTGGTCCATACTGGTCCATACTGGTTTATACTGGTTTGTACTGGTTTTCCCCAGGGAGAAGGGCCGCCGGGAGCGCGAGGCGCGGCTGGTTTATACTGGTTTATACTGGTTTATACTGGTTTATACTGGTCCATACTGGTTTATACTGGTCCATACTGGTCCATACTGGTCCATACTGGTCCATACTGGTCCATACTGGTTTTCCCCAGGGAGCAGGGCCGCCGGGAGCGCGAGGCGCGGCTGGTTTATACTGGTTTATACTGGTCCATACTGGTCCATACTGGTCCATACTGGTCCATACTGGTTTATACTGGTCCATACTGGTCCATACTGGTCCATACTGGTCCATACTGGTTTATACTGGTCCATACTGGTCCATACTGGTCCATACTGGTTTATACTGGTCCATACTGGTCCATACTGGTCCATACTGGTCCATACTGGTTTTCCCCAGGGAGCAGGGCCGCCGGGAGCGCGAGGCGCGGCTGGTTTATACTGGTTTATACTGGTTTATACTGGTTTGTACTGGTTTTCCCCAGGAGCAGGGCCGCCGGGAGCGCGAGGCGCGGCTGGTTTATACTGGTTTATACTGGTCCATACTGGTCCATACTGGTCCATACTGGTTTATACTGGTCCATACTGGTCCATACTGGTCCATACTGGTCCATACTGGTTTGTACTGGTTTTCCCCAGGGAGCAGGGCCGCCGGGAGCGCGAGGCGCGGCTGGTTTATACTGGTTTATACTGGTTTATACTGGTCCATACTGGTCCATACTGGTTTATACTGTCCATACTGGTCCATACTGGTCCATACTGGTCCATACTGGTCCATACTGGTCCATACTGGTTTTCCCCAGGGAGCAGGGCCGCCGGGAGCGCGAGGCGCGGCTCCGCTCGGCCGCCCTGGCCCGGGAAGGTTTCGCGCTCCGGCAGCGCCTGGTGCAGGAGGCGGCCGAGGGAAAACGGCAAAAACAGGTGGGGAAAAAAAATGGGAAAAATGGGGAAAAATGGGGAAAATGGGGAAAATGGGAAAAATGGGGAATTGGGGGAAAATGGGAAAAATGGGGGAAAATGGGGAAAATGGGGAAAATGGGAAAAATGGGGAAAATGGGGAAAATGGGAAAAATGGAAATTGGGGGAAAATGGGAAAAAATGGGGAAAAATGGGAAAAATGGGAAAATGGGGGAAAATGGGGAAAAATGGGAAAAATGGGAAAATGGGGAAAAATGGGGAAAATGGGAAATTGGGGGAAAAATGGAAAAAATGGGGAAAATGGGGAAAATGGGGAAAATGGGGAAAAATGGGAAATTGGGGGAAAAATGGGGAAAAATGGGAAAAATGGGAAATTGGGGGAAAAATGGGGAAAATGGGGAAAAATGGGAAATTTGGGGAAAAATGGGGAAAATGGGGAAAAATGGGGAAAAATGGGGAAAAATGGGAATTTGGGGGAAAAATGGGGAAAAATGGGAAAAATGGGGAAAAATGGGGAAAAATGGGGAAAATGGGGAAAAATGGGAATTTGGGGGAAAATGGGAAAAATGGGAAATTTGGGGAAAATGGGAAAAATGGGAAAAATGGGAAAAATGGGGAAAAATGGGAAAAATGGGGAAAATGGGGAAAATGGGAAAAATGGGAAATTGGGGAAAATGGGAATTTGGGGAAAAATGGGAAAATTTGGGGGATTTTGGGGAAAAATGGGAAAATTTGGGGAAAAATGGGAAATTTGGGGAAAAATGGGAAAATTGGGAATTTTGGGGAAAAATGGGAAATTTGGGGAAAAATGGGAAAATTGGGGAATTTTGGGGAAAAATGGGGAATTTTGGGGGAAATGGGAAATTTGGGGAAAAATGGAATTTGGGGAAAAATGGGAAAATTTGGGGAAAATGGGAATTTGGGAAAAATGGAATTTGGGGAAAAATGGGAAAATTTGGGGAAAATGGGAAATTTGGGAATTTTGGGGGAAAATGTGAAAATTTGGGGAAAAATGGAAAATTGGAGAAAAATGGGAAAATTTGGGAATTTTGGGGAAAAATGGGAAAATTTGGGGAAAAATGGAAAATTTGGGGAATTTTGGGGATAATTCCCAGGGAATTTTGAGGTTATTTGGGGATAGTTTTGGGGTAATTTCAGGATAAATTTGGGGAAATTTCAGGAGAATTTTGCAATAAATTCAGGAGAATTTGGGGATGTTTTCAGGAGAATTTGGGGATAATTTCAGGATAATTTCAGGATAATTTGGGGATAATTTGAGGATAATTTCGGGATAATTTCAGGATAATTTGGGGATAATTCCATGATAATTTCAGGACAATTTCAGGATAATTTGGGGATAATTTGGGGATAATTCCAGGATAATTCCAGGACAATTTCAGGCTATTTTTGGTGTATTTTGTGCCCCAGGCCCGGCTGCAGGCGCTGCAGGAGGAGTTTTTGGGGGCAGTTTCTGGGATAATTTCAGATATTTTCAGGATATTTTGGGGATAATTTCAGGATAATTTCGAGATAATTTCCTGCTAATTCTCGGTTATTTTTGTGCCCCCCAGGCCCGGCTGGAGGCGCTGCAGGAGGAGTTTTTGGGGGCAGTTTCTGGGATAATTTCAGGATATTTTGGGGATAATTTCAGGATAATTTCGAGATAATTTCCTGCTAATTCTCGGTTATTTTTGTGCCCCCAGGCCTGGCTGCAGGCGCTGCAGGAGGAGTTTTTGGGGGCAGTTTCTGGGATAATTTCAGGATATTTTGGGATAATTGGGGATAATTTCAGGATATTTTGGGGATAATTTCAGGATAATTTGGGGATAATTTAGAGATAATTTCAGGATTATTCTGGGTTATTTTTGTGCCCCCCAGGCCCGGCTGGAGGCGCTGCAGGAGGAGTTTTTGGGGCAGTTTCTGGGATAATTTCAGGATAATTTGGGGCTAACTTTGGGATAATTTCAGGATAATTTCAGGAAAATTTGGGGATAATTCCAGGACAATTTCAGGCTATTTTTGGTGTATTTTGTGCCCCCAGGCCCGGCTGGAGCGCTGCAGGAGGAGTTTATGGGGGCAGTTTCTGGGATAATTTCAGGATATTTTCAGGATAATTTCAGGATAATTTCGAGATAATTTCCTGCTAATTCTCGGTTATTTTTGTGCCCCCAGGCCTGGCTGCAGGCGCTGCAGGAGGAGTTTTTGGGGGCAGTTTCTGGGATAATTTCAGGATATTTTGGGGATAATTTGGGATAATTTCAGGATATTTTGGGGATAATTTCAGGATATTTTCAGGATATTTTGGGGATAATTTGGGGATAATTTCGAGATAATTTCCTGCTAATTCTGGGTTATTTTGTGCCCCCAGGCCCGGCTGCAGGCGCTGCAGGAGGAGTTTTTGGGGGCAGTTTCTGGGATAATTTCAGGATATTTTCAGGATAATTTCAGGATATTTTCAGGATATTTGGGGATAATTTGGGGATATTTTCAGGATATTTTGGGGATAATTTGGGGATAATTTCAGGATATTTTCAGGATAATTTGGGGATAATTTGGGGATAATTTCGAGATAATTTCCTGCTAATTCTGGGTTACTCTGTGCCCCCAGGCCCGGCTGCAGGCGCTGCAGGAGTCGCGGCGGCAGCTGGAGCAGCGCGTGGCGGCGCTGCGCGCGGCCAAGGACGCGGCCGAGGGCCCCGAGCAGGCGGCCAGGGGGGAAGCACCGCAGGAAATGGGGGGGTACGGGGGGGAATCGGGGGCTCTGGGCCTTTTTGGGGTTCTTTTTAGCTTTTTGGGGGGTTTTTAGAGTTTTTTTGGGGATTTTTGGGGCGTTTCTGGGCTTTTTTTTTGGGGGTTTTTTTGGGCTTTATTTGGGTTTTTTTCGTCGATTATTTTGGGGCTTTTTTTGGTCGGTGTTTTGGGGTTATTTTTGGTCGATTTTTTGGGGGTTCTTTTGGATCTTTATTTGGTTTTTTGGGGGGCTTTTTTGGCCTTTTCTTGGGGTTTTGCTTTCGCATGTTTTGGGGGGTTTGGGGAACAACGGAAGGATCCAAATGGGCAGGGATGGGGGGGGGGGGGGGACGAGAGATGGGGGAATTTGGGGAGATTTGTGGGGGTTTTGGGGGCTTTTCGTTGTCGTTTGGGGGCTTTTTTTGGGCTTTTGGGGCCCTTTGGGCGCCATGGAAGATCCCAAATGGGCGCCAGAGGGGGAAACACGAGAACAAATCGGGAGAAATTTGGGGTTGCTGGAACAACTGAAGCTCCCAGGATGAATTTTTGGGGTCTCAGGAGGAATTTTGGGGTCCCAAAATCCCCAAATTTCCCCAAATTCCCCCCCCAGAGCAGAGAGCAGCAGCAGCAGCCGCTCAGGACGAGGCCAAAGCGGCCCGAAACCTTCACGGAGCTCGACGGGGGGACGGGGACGGACGGTGAGGATGGGGAGATTTTGGGGGGATTTTGGGGGGATTTTGGGGGATTTGGGGGGATTTTGGGTTTTGTGGATTTTTGGGATTTTTTTGTGGA